CCCCCCCCCCCCCCCCCCCGAGGGGGATGGCCATGCTGCAATCCCTTCTCCTCCATTCTCTTCCTGGAATCCTGGGCATGCACACACACGTGCCCAACGTGAGTTTAAGCCACCGGGTCCGGGATTCATCACTGAATTTTTTTTCAGTGATGAAAATTTTTATTTTTAATATGCCTAGTTGGTTTATTTTTCCTAAGCAGAGATGTAGTGTACTCTTGGATTTCTTTGAGGATTTTAATTTAAAATTTATTTTATTTTAAAATCTTCCATTTGTTATTTAACTTTATCTTTCTCTAAATTCTCAAATGTGAGTACTTTATCATTCTCTAAATTCTCAAATACACAGGGATTCCGGATTAAAAATAAAAGTGATTAATTTTAGAGTTCTAAGTCTGAGCACTTAAAATTTAAATATGTTTTGAATACTATTTTTCTGTAATGTTGATACTTTTTTACACCTTGTAGTCACGGGGATGAAATATCCAACTTTTAAGAACAAAATAGGTCTTGAGTTTTTAAAAATTTCATGATGATTTTCTCTTTTTAAACTGGCCTTTATATTTGTGTGACAATGCTTATATGTAATCCAGGACAACCCTTGGAATATGTATTATAGTTTCACACATTTGCACAGTAAGGAGACAATTGATTTAGTAGGAGATAAGGAAATTCCAGCATATACGTTTCTATCATAGCATCTCTTAGTGAAAAAGGAACAGATGGTATGAAATTGAGGACCATTTCCTTGGTAAAGAGCTATGATTCCTCTCTCGTACTGAATCTCAGCATAAGCAGGTTTGTGTGTGTGTCTTCCTTTCTATTCATCTGTTTCCCATTTCGTTGTTATTTCCCTCAAGGGTTCCAGACTCCTTTTGCACTTGCCTAGGGCTAGCAGGGAAGTTATGGCTTAGCAAAGGCAAATCCAAGATTTAGGGAAACCAATCATGGTGTGTGGGGAAATAGTTTTATTCTGATATAAGTTCCAACTAAATTTATAGACTAGTCCAAAGAAATCCTGGATACTCTTCACACAGATTTCCAATTTACATTTGCCTCATTTGTTCACACACATACACTTTCCTTCCAGATATGTGGTTAAGTGTGTGTATATACATGTGTGTGTGTGTAGAGAGAGAGAGAGAAATGGAGAGAACTGGAAACAGTTGTGCCCCTTTCCGTGTGAATTTCCTAAGAACAAGAATTTTCATATATTTTCAAAATCAGGCAATTTAGCAATGATACAGTAATGTTATCTAATTCACAGTCTTTATTCAAATGTCATTAATTGTTAATTATCCTAATATTATTTGTAGTAATTTTTAAAAACTGGTCTGAAATGTAGTCCAGGATTATGTGGTATCAGGTCTCTTTAAGATCCTTTAATCTAGAACAGTTCCTTGGTCGTTTTATTTATTTTTTTTTCCCTTTTTTTAACCTTGGGGTGTGTGTGTGTGCTTGTGTATGACCTTTACTTTGACTTTTTTTTTTTATATATATATCTCTACATTTCAAAACAATAACAGTAATAACATACAATTATTATTGTGTCCTGTAAAAAGAAAGCATTTTGATTGCAAAGAGAATAGACTGGAGTTTATCGTTCAAATTCAAGGACTCTTTATCCTCTTAAAATGTTGTAGTACCTTGATTATTCTGTTAAACAAATATTTATTGAGCACCTTTATTAGCCAGGTATTGTATGAAACCCTTGAGACACTTAAATTCCAGCAGAGGAAACAGACAATAAATAATAAACATAAACAATAAGTACATTTATTATATTTGTAGACAGTAAAACATACTTTCAAAAATGGTAAGTGCTGGGAACCAGCAGTTAGCGTAATGGCTATGTCGCTGGACTCCCACGTAGTCGACCGCGGTTTGTGTCCTGGACCTGGTGGCTTAAAACTCACGCTGGGCGCGTGTGCATGCATGCCCAAGATCCAGAGAGGAGAATGGAGGAGAAAGGATTGCGGCGTGACCATCCCCTCTGGGGGGTGATTTCTCGCTTTCTGTCTCTATGTCTGTCTCTGTCTGTCTGGCGAGCGCACGCGCCCTGTAGCGAAAACCTCTCAAAAAAAAAAAAAAAAAAAAGGTAAGTGCTAAGGGAAAAAGAAAAAATGACAATGTAAGGGAAGCAGAAGTGTTGGGGAGGGTGTAGCACATTTGAAGAGGCTGGGTAAGCTCATTGAGAATGGTGACTTCTGGGCAAAGAGGAGGTGAGAGAATAGCTGAGGTGGGATAGATGGGCAGGCATTCCAGGCAGAGGGAACAGTATGGAGGCTTTGAGGTGGGAGTATATCTGGCTGGATCAAAGAGCAGTAAAGTCTGGTGTACGAAGAAAAGTGTATGAAGGGAGAAGTTGTAGAAGGTGTGGTCAGAGGGTCACAGGGGAGGCAGATCAGACGGACTAAAGTAAACTTTACCTTTTACTCTGGTGATATAGGGAGCCACAATAGGGTTAGTAGTAGATGATCTGACATTCTTTATAAAAACGATCATTCTGGCAGCCATATTGATTAGACTGTAGGTGGCAAGGGTAGAAGTTAGGAAACAATGTCTTTTGTATTTTTATTTTTTTGTTTAGAAAAATAGTGCTGGGAACCAGCAGTTAGAATAATGGCTATGTTGCTGGACTCCGTGTCCTGGACCCGGTGGCTTAAAACTCACACCGGGCGTGTGTGCGTGCATGCCCAAGATCCCGAGAGGAGAAGGGATTGCGGCGTGATCATCCCCCCTGGGGGGTGATTTATCTCTTTCTGTCTCTATGTCTCTCTCTGTCTGTCTGGTGAGCGCATGCGCCCTATAGCAAAAATCTC